ATGCCCTCAGAAGAAATATAGCCAAGCCCTCTTGGCCAAGTTTACATTCAGAAAAGAGGGAGATTTGAGGATCGTAGGTGAAAAGAAGGTGCCAAAACCCAGGGAAGGGATAGCAGTGGTATAGGAAAGTTCCCACTCTACCTGTGGTACTTATGTGGCCCCCTCACCATGGTATCTGAGTGCCTCACAATATCTAAACCTATTTCTCCTCACAGCCCCTATGTGAGGTAAAGCAGTGATGTAAACCCCATTGTACAGATTGGGCATTGAGGCACAGGGAGACTAAAGACCAGATTTTCAAAAGTATTTAGGCACCTAGTTTGATTTTCAGAAGTGGCTACGTTAGACACTTTGTAAACCCCACTAGATGCCTAGCTGCATCTTTGGGTGCCTAAAATCTTTTGAAACTCTGTTCCTAAGACACTGGTCTGAGGTCATACAGGAAGTCCCTGGGGAGAGTATAACCCAGGTCTCTCAGGGCTAGCTCCCTATCCACTTGACCAGCCTCTCTCTCTGCTGCATGCTGCAAAAAAGAGGACTGTGATAGATGGGAGCAAAACCAAGAAGGCCAGTTCTCTGAGACGCCAGCAATCGGTCCCAGCTGATTGGGAAGGATGTCATGTTTGAAAGCATGAAAAGCAGTACAGAGGTCAGGATGGATAAAGAAAGAAAGAGAATGAGAGTCAGATGAGAGGAGATCACTTAATCCAGAGGGGGTGGCAGGTTCTGCCCCATGCTAGGTTGTAGAGCAATGCCTATGTGCAGTTTTAGATTTTAACTGAAAACCATTTTGTTTGGTCATTTTTTGTTCTGAGTTCAAGAAAAGGAAGGAATAGGAAAGTGTCATATGAGTATCAGATGTATTTATGGCTCAAATTCTTAGGGGTTCACCTGTACCCTGGCCAATTCCAGAACAAAAGAACAGAAATTGCATCCACAGAGTCTATAAAGTAGACTATTATTTTCATGATTTGTATCATTTGCTGTGCAGCATCCGTATACTCAGCGCTGTTCAGAATATACAGGAAATAAAGTCTCTGAGCCAATATGTATAAGATGTGTAGCCCTGGATTAGATGGCTCAGATATTTAAGTATGAAGTGTATAATTATTGAGCACATCTTATCACATATTCATTGCGATGTTAATGTTTATGAGTGGGGTTGCTGATGGCAATAGAAGTTTTACTTGATTAAGGGAGGTCTAGGTTGGACATTAGGAAAAAGTTCCTAACTGTCAGGGTGGTTAAACACTGGAATAAATTGCCTAGGGAGGTTGTGGAATCTCCATCTCTGGAGATATTTAAGAGTAGGTTAGATAAATGTCTATCAGGTATGGTCTAGACAGTATTTGGTCCTGCCATGCGGGCAGCGGACTGGACTCTATGACCTCTCGAGGTCCCTTCCAGTCCTAGAATCTATGAATCTATGAAAAGGACTAGAAGATTTGACCCTCCAACTTTCTTTCAAGAGGAAGAGATGCCCAGAGCTCCTGAGCCTATTTATTTTTCTTTCCTGCCTGCACCGGCCCTGATATACCTGAGAAGTCTCCATTTTTTTTTTCAACTTTAAAATATGGAATTTTCTTGGTGCTTGGTTTTAAATATTCTCCTGTGAAAACTGCAACTCAATCACTGTAGTGTTGTGTTTAAGAGCCTGCTGGAAAGTAACTAGCCTTTAAACAGAAATGAAAGCAGTGTTGCCAACTCTCATGATTTTGTCATGAGTCTCATGATCATTATTGTTTTCCTTAAAGCCTCAGCTCTTGGAGTCAAGTGGATATGTGATGATTTCAGCCTTCATTCTTAAAGAAAAATGAAGTTTCTAACCCTCATGGCTGTGGAGAAAGCTTCAAAATTTGACCCCAGTGTACCCTCAAGGTTCAAAAAGCAGAAGGCAAATACAAAGAACACCAAACCTATTATTTTTACATAATTTCATAATTTTAAAGTCAATCTCATGATTTTTGGTGAGCCTGTTTCATGATTTTTGAATATTTAGGGTTGGCAATACTGTCAGAAAATGACTGGAAAGTGTCAGTTTCACTCCTGTTTAAACTCAGTTTCTAATCTATTATTTGTAGGGGGGTAACATTCCTAGAGCCTAAGGCAGGTTCAGTATAAACTCACAGGGCCTGGCCCAAGTAGAATATTTCCAAAAGTTAAATGATCTATTCCAAGCTTGGTGAATTGAAAAAAAGTGATAGAAAGTAATCTAGATTTTTCTAAAATTGTTTCAATTGTTGTGTTCAAGATTTAGTAACTAAGTAAGAACATACATTAAAATTTTAAACCTAACCAGTGTCCCTTAAGTGACCTGACACAAGATGTCTGAACATGTTAGTATTAGAGCTAAGTGGGGTTAATATTTATTTAATTTTCTTTCGTTATATAGGAATTAGATACAGTGCTCCTGTCAGCTAATTTCTAAGTTATCTGCACACAAAAAAACTAGTTTTCAGGTGCCTAAGTAGCCCCTGGAATCACAGTTGAAGTTGCCTCCCTCCCACCAAAATCTGAAATGTCACCCCTGGCTGTAACTTCCTGCTTTCTTTGCTAACAAGATCTGTTCTACGCTGTGTTCCTGACGACTAATAAACCCTTCTGTTTTACAATGGTGGCTGAGAGTCACTGCTGACTGCAAAGTTGGGGTGCATGGCCCCTTTGGGGAGCGTATAAGGCTTTCCCATGTGTCCCATTCAGGTGGACTCCCTGCAGGAAGCTCACGGTGTGAACAGGGGTGCTGAACACTCCAAGGTCAGACCCAGGAGATGCTGAAGCGGAGGAGCCTTGCCCGAGTGAGTGTGCGCCCAGACGGGAGACACACTGCACTACAGTCCTGTCTGACTTCATTTAGAGTGGTTCCAGGCACTGAGTCTGTGATTCCATGACAACAACAGATTGAAACAATTATGTATGTGGATGTATAAGAAACACCTTGTCTCCAATATATGTTTGCAAGACCAGTTCAATAATACAAAGTCTCTATATAAAAGTATAATTCTATATATAGTCAGTAATATAAAGTCTCTAAATACATATTTCCTCCCTATACCACAACCCTCTCAGAGAAAGCCCTGGAATACATAATTGCAAAACTGTATATGTATAATTAGGACTAAAATCATAGGAATATTACTGTAAAAATATCCTACAGGAAATTAGATGCAAAACTACATTTAAGAGGTATGAGCAAATGCACACATTTTCTGTGTATATTCTACATAAGGGTTATTTCTTTTTGCTTACTTTCACCAGACTTAGCATTTTGTTGTTTAATACTAAGGTTTACTTGAAATTCAACCCAAGTTTCTCTATGAGTGCCTTGCTTAAAAGCAAGTCAACTTGTCATGAAATGTTTTTTATACTACAGTTTTCCAGCAAGAAATCCCTGTTCTTGAACAGTGATGAGGACAGAAATGGAGAATATAATTTTCGCCATCAAGATAAACTACAGAACAGAATAATAAAAACAACATGAGTCATCAGGAGTCCTACACTGGTTAGTATGTTCTAGAAAGTTTGGAATCAGAGGACTGAACTTAATTTCAGGATAGTTAAGCAACAAACCCTCTTACACATACTGTAAGACTCATTAGCTGGCAAATTGCCTAATTTTTCTGCACTGGTTACCAATTCACTTCCAGGTGAAATTCAAGTTGCTAGGTTACTATCTGTAAAGACTTTCATGATGCAGATCCCATTGCAGCTATCACTGGAACTTTCACTTTTAGAATTAACTTCCACTAAAACAGTCTGAACCCAAGTCTGGCCCTTTTGGAATATACTGTAAAATGTAAATCTTTGTTGAGATTACCCTGTAAAACCAGTCCTGAAATCCACTGACATTTAGTCAGTCAGCTGAGTTTTCCCATCTCTGACTCCTTCAGAGAAATTAGCTTGCATCTTTAACGGTTTGTGACATATACATCCCCAAATTTAGGAAAAGTTTGTTTTGTACCCTATGTAAATAGCATCCAGAGTCTACGATAGCAGGTGCATGTAAACAGATGCGATCCCCCCATCTCAGTTTTAATGCAGTACAACACAATGCGTTACAGTTCAAACTCACCCCCTTCTTGGTATTTACCTTCATTAATTAACTTATGTTCCCAGGGCAGGACTTGTCTTACAAATCTAAACCGTATCCTGGGTCTACTCTTCAGCTGGCAGCTACTAAGGTTTCTCCATGAAAGACCTCACATACAATGTCCAACCTTTCTCACCTCAGAGAGACTGTCATACTTGTAGTGCATCAGAATAAATGAGACCTACCTGGTCTAGCTACCAGGATGAGTCAACAGAATCACTCTGTACCTCCACATAGTATCCTATACTCTGCCACCTGCCATAGGGTATTGTACATGGATGTAAATAATAATTATACAATCAGTTTATATCAGATTTACCTTTGTGATCTACTGCTATTACAGAATAGTATGACCCCTTACGTATTATCAGTGAACTTATTTGCATAAATACAGTTATCGTCCAACATGTAAAATAAGTTTTGACTTGTCACAAAGGTAAATGTGAAGTTGACCAGATAAGGTGACAAAAGTTAAGAGAAGGAATTCCCTTCCTCTGAAGAAGGGCCATATTAAAACTGAAATATTTGATATAGCAAATAAAACCATTAAAAGTGTAGTGCTGTCAAATATTAGAAATATTATATTTCTTTTGAATTAGTTCACTTTATCTAGTAATTTAATAACTGATTTTTGGAGGAAGCTGATTGTTCTATTATGTTACATTACTTCTCATTTTTAAATCTCTTTATATTTGATAAACATTTTATCTGATTTAGTGAATTTTAAAAGCAAACTGGAAAACTATTTTTAAGAAACATTTTAATACTGACCAAGAAGTGCAAAAAAATTCCAAGTTAAAACTCCATTTTTAAATTGTTGCTAATGAACAAACAAAAGAGATTCACAGGTGTTGATGTTTTTACTTACACCAAAGCATTAAAGTCAACAATTTGTACAGAATTTTAAACTTACTCTTGCATTAATGGTAGTATAGTCCATGCACCATCATGTCTGTCCATCTGATGAATAAGCAGAATTCTAGGTAATTCCTTTAAGAAAACCAAAAATATTCTTATGAGACAACAAAGTATTTTACAACACAGTATATTTTTAGATGCCTAATTAATTTTAAAACTAAATTCTTGTGGAAAGACTATTTCACTCTTATTTTCATAGAACTGAGTAGCAAACAGGCTTGTAGACTAAAAGAGACTAGAGATGTAGCAGAAGGACAGAATTCAGACTCTTGAAGAGGGAGCTTCTTGAAATTTCTTGTTTCTAAACCCTCTCTCAAGTATAAAACTAATGCATCTCCCACTTCAGTGAAACTTTATAAATATTCTGGAACATCTCTCTGGTTGTACCACTTCTGGAACAATTAAAAGTTCATCTTATAAAGACAGTGTTTATAATTGAAAGTGGAGTATGCAAACTCTTCTAATGAATTATACATACATTATGTTAACCAGAAATACTGATTTAATTCGATAGAGCTAATTTATCATCTAACAGGACTCTAACATAAAGCCCACTATTCTTGATGACACCATTGGTTTTGTTCCAATTCCACTGGTATTGTTAGGAGTAGCTACTACAAGTATGCATTGTCCCCAAAATTCCAGTAAGACTTAAATCAATAATCCAGTGTATTTTACTGGACATTTTACTAAAATTTCAATCAACATTTGGCTGTTTACTGTTAGTGTGATTCAAGAAACACCATTGCACATTATCAGAACACATTTTATGAATATCATAACAATATGATCTTCTAATGGTTCTAAGTAAGAAAGCAAAAGGATTAAAGGGCTGGATTACTATACACTTTGACTATAATCAGGAGTTATATACAAAATTGATAGGGTAATTTACAGTATATGTAGGAAGAGAGCAGTCTGAATAAAGTGAACTGGTTCAATCACCTTTCCTTGGCTCAGCTCCTCTCTTTTGGGAAGCACCAATGGGATGAAGCTCAGAAAAAGCACTCTCCCTCTCCTCAAATCGGAGGCTCCTCCATTCATGGAAATGGAGGGAACAATCTGATCCTTAGCACAGTATCTTTTCCTGTACACATATTATTATCGTTATCCATTTCCCTTAGATTTAGTTTACATTCTGCTCTTGTAAGCTCTCTCTTTCTGGTGCTGTCTTTCCCAACTCTCTCTAAAACCAGAAAATGTTAGGGTCCCCATCTTCCTTTTTATCCATCTCCAGAGATGCACCAACTCTATTCTTCTCCTATTACTCAGTGGGCTACAGAATCTCTTGTCATAGCACATATATTTCTCCAACATGACAGAGGTTGACTATGTGGCTCCTACTTCCCCATTTCACATCTCTCTACCAAAAACCATGCTAAATTATGCTAGGGTTGCTAACTTTCTAATCGCACAAAACCTTTGCCCCACCTCCTGCCCTGCTCCTTCTCTGAGACCCCGCCCCCCACTCACTCCATTCTCCCTCCCTCCGTCACTTGCTCTCTCCCACCCTCACTCATTTTCACTGGGCTGGGGCAGGGGGTTGGGGTGTAGGAGGGGGTGAGGGCTCTGGCTGGGGGTGCAGGTTCTGGGGTGGGACCAGAAATGAGATGTTCAGGGTGCGGGAGGGGCTCAGGGGGGTGCAGGCTCTGGGAGGGAGTTTGGGTGTGGGATTGGGGTGCAGGCTCCGGCCAGACAGTGCTTACCTCAGGTGGCTCCAGGAAGCAGCAGGGATGTCCGGCTCCTAGGCGGAGGGGCCAGAGGGCTCCACACACTGCCAGCCCCCACAGGTGCCATCCCTGCAGCTTCCCTTGGCCGTGGTTCCTGGCCAATGGGAGCTGTGGAGCCAGTGCTCGGGGCGGAGGCAGAATGCAGAGCCCCTGTGGCCATCCCTGCACCTAGAAGCCAGACACGCCGGCTGCTTCTGGGAGCTGCGTGGAGCCAGGGCAGGCAGGGAGCCTGCCTTAGCCCCACAGCGCCATCAATCGGACTTTTAGAGGCCCAGACAGCAGTGCTGACCGGAGCACCAGGGTCCCTTTTCAATCAAGCATTCCAGTCAAAAACTGGACACCTGGCAACTCTAAATTATGCTGATTTCTTTGCTTGACTCACTCACTTTGCCTACTTTACACAGCAGTGCGAAAGGTAGAAACATGGAAATACATTGTTATGTCAGCTTCCACCTGAGAATAACTGGAAAATCTGGGCAAGCATGAAGAGGAAGGCTGGCTAGTCAAGATGGAGGTGTGTCCAGGGTAATCAAATGTTCTCTGGAGATTGTGTCCCCCTCTCAAACTCATTCCCTACTCACTGAAATTAGTAATGTGAATAAAATACAGCACATGCAGAGTGCTGTTTTCATTAGTTAATGTTTCTCAACTAGTGTTTTTCACAGTTAGCAAAGCACACATTCCTTACCGAAGATTGTATATGGAACATGCCAAGTCTGAAGTTTTAAATTCAAATAGGTTCTGGGGTTATTCAAGTGCAAATAAATCAGCTAAACAAACATTGTTAATGGCTGAGTAACTATTTCCCCACACTTTGAAAACTCAAAGACAGCTGGGTTATTTTTTAATTACTTTTTTAAAGTCACTTCTGGCTTGGAACGTAACGGAACACACTTCAGCCCAAAATGTGCCAGGCCCTTCAGAAACATACAGGCAGTAGTAGTCCCTGCCCCTAAAATCTTACAATCTACACAGACAAAACAAACAAGCAAAGGGAGTTTTAACACGGATTTCGGTGGCCCTGATTCTGGTCCCACTAAGACTAACTGGTAGTTTGTCTACTGCAATAAATAAACAAACAAACAAACAAAAAAACCCAACCACCACCAAACAACCTGCAGCAGCAAGTCTCAGGGCCCAGGTCAACCGGTTTTAGCTACAAGGCTAAAAAAAAGCCATGTAAGTGTTCAGGCTTGGGCTGGAGCCTGGGTTTCAAGACCCTCCTGCCTCACTGGGTTTCAGAGCCCAGGTTCCAGTAGTCCCAGCATCCACACAGCTATTTTTAGCCACATAGTCTGAGTAGGGTTACCATTCGTCCGGATTTACCCGGACATGTCCTCCTTTTTGTGCTAAAAATAGCGTCCGGGGGGAATTTGTAAAGCACTCACAATGTCCGGGATTTCCCCCCGGCAGAGCAGAGCGAGTGGCTGGGAGGGCTGCAGGGAAGTCCCGGGCTGGACTCAGGAGCAGCTGTAGAGGAGCCGGATCCGCCCTGCATTCTGAGCCGGCAGCTCCCTTGCAACCCAGTCCGGCAGCACTGTGCAGGGCCAGGGACCGGGTTTTGTTGTGCTGGGGAGCTCAGCCACGTGTCCGGCTCCGCTGCACAGACCGCAACTCCCTATTCTGAGCCATAGGGGAAGGAGGACAAGGTTCCGCATGGTTCTTGAGG